CGGCCGCGCGCTCCCCGCCAGCGCTGCGGCTGCGGCTGCGCCGCCCTCGGCCCCGCCCCCTGCCCATCCCCCTCCGCCACCACGCGCACGCATCCACGTACGCTGCTCGGCAACCAGAGGCTCCGCCCTCTGCTCCCGTTCGGTGGGGCCTATTGGACCGAAGAACTCCAGCGGTTCGCTCTCGGTTCGTGTTACGGTTGGTTTCCTTTGCCATAGGTGTTAACCAAAGCGGTATTCGATTGGGTAAACTTAGAGAAGGAGGCGGGCTGAAACTGGTGAAGGCGGGGCTTCTTGGCTGCTCCACGAAATGTCGTGAATGAAAGGAAGGAGCCCGGAGAAGCACAGCTTTGGGGAGTTTAGGGAAATGCCTGATACGAGTGTTCGAAAGGACCCAGTGACTTTATGTTTATATGAAATATGAAGCTATTTTGGCACCTTGACGCTTCCATATGTCCTTAGTTAATACCCGTCTCTGCAGAATTAGAGATTTGATGGCAACGGCCTTTAGCCGCCTGTTTTGGATCAGGCTCTGGAGTGGACGCCCCTAGCAGAGGGGTCCTCTGGGCAGCCCGAGACCGACGGGAGACGGCAGCGATGGCGTCGGGGCCGGGCGGATGGCTTGGACCGGCGTTTGCACTGCGCCTGCTGCTGGCCACCGTGCTTCAAGAGGTGAGTGCAGGTCACCTCCGCGGCAGCGCCAGGGCGAGTGGGAGGGATTGCGCTAAGGAAGACAGAACGTTCGGTCGCGTTTGGGAGCCACACTTGGGAAGGGTGGGAGGTCTGGACTTCCTTGGCGACTGCTGCTGCCAAAATGCGACGTGGCTTAGTTCCGCGTCTGATGCTTAGCCTTCCCTGCCCCCGGTTTCTAGCGGCTCTTTCTCCTGACTTCAGACTCTCTTGAATGCAATCTGTAAGACACGGTGAAAGGGGGAAAAAAAGGCACAAACTTTTGCAAAGGAATGAAGATTGTTTTTAAACGGACAGAAATGCAAAGAACTACCGTTACTTATGACTCCCAAATCTTGGAGGAAAGCCGTCAAATCTTTGGTCCAGGGTACACTTCCTTTTTACTTCTTTCTCTCAATTGTTTGTGGTCTCTGTAAGTCACTTTGAGGAGGCCTTTTACCCCTGTTTGCTGGCATTCACATGCCGCTGGGTGCACTTCAGTGCCATTTGTGGTTTTTAAACAACATTGTTGCAATAAAAGCAGCTACTCCATACCGAAGCATAATTTGTTTTTGAAATTGATTTTCTAAAATAATAGCCTTTATCTCGTTTAAAATCGAGGAGTGTTTAACCAGGTTTTACATTTCGTTTTTCTCCATTAACAGAACAGATGTGTTCTTTATCTTTGAATGGGGAAAGGCTAATTTTGACTTATTTACTCACAACTTACTGTTTGTTAATTCCTCGTTAGAAGTTTTTACTCTGTTTTAACTGAATAAGACGTTTGAATAGGCACTGTACTCGGAGTTTTTACAAATTTCTTTAATCAGACTAAGTTTCAGGTGTTCTCTTTACTGAACTTGCTGAAAAGTATTCTCCTAGAAACCTGGTTTAATTAATTTATCCAAGGTTTGGAGGAGTTAAGGCCTATACTGCAGGTCTCTATAAACACCTGGGCTTTTCTTTCAAGGAATTTGAAGAGCCTGCCTGTTTCCTTTTGCAACCTTACCTAAAAGGTGAATTCTTTGCTTCTCTAATTAGCTTTACAGTACTCCATTTACAGGCATTTGGTGCCTTAGAAATTATAGGGAGATCCCTCTCTAAACTTTGTACTCAGGAGGTTTTGGTTTTTTGTTTTTTGTTTTTTGGGTTTTTTTTTTTTTTGTCAGTCTTAGGCAATTTGCGTTCACCATCACAAAAAAAGATTTAAAAAAAAAGAAAGACTAACATTTCCAGTTGCCTTCTGATTTCCCTGTCTCTGTTTCATTATCTGTGGCTGTGTAACCACCCCAAAATGTAATGACTTAATATAACGATTTCTCATAGTTCAGTGGGTCTGCTGAGCACTTGTTCTGTTGGTTTCTTCTGGCCTCATTTATGCAGCTGTGCTTTAGCTAATAGGTCTGCTGAACTGAAGGGTCCAAGATGGCTTCATTCTTAGTGGTGCTGACTGTCCACTGGGACGACTTGCTTCTCTTCCCAGTGATCTCTTGTTCTCCGGTAGGCCACATCAACTTCTTTTCATGGCAGTCTTAGGGCAGCACTCCTGAAGAACAAAATCTGCAATGCCCTCTAAAGCATAGCCTTCAAAGTCACATATATCACTTCCACCTCATAATATCTGCCAAAGCAAACCACAAGACCAGTCAAGATTCCAGGGATGGGGAAATGAACTCCCATTTCTGCATGAGAGCAGTGACATGATCACATTGCAAAGGTTGCCCCAGTGGTTCTGAGTCACAACTGTAAATGTAAGTATGTACTGTTGTCTGTGTGAATGCAAACTGTCTTCCACCTTTTTTCCAAAAACCAAAACTCAAAAAAAAAAAAAAACAGAATAGCAGGAATTTATAGCCATTAAACAGTCTGCCACAGTGACCATCCACAGAATTCAGGCCAGAAACTTGGATGTCACCTTCAGCTCCTTCCTTTCCTTACATACCTCATATCCGTATTTTGCTTCCTAAATATCTTTCAAATTCATCCACTTTTTTTATTAATTCCTCATTTAGGCCACCAACCGCTCTCTCCTTAAAAATAGTGGCCTCATGGTTCACCCTTTGAATTATCAGAATCTAAATGGTTGATTTTGCCAGTTTCCCAATTGCCCAAGCCAGAAATTAGTCACTTTAAATTCTTCTCTGAACTCAGTTAGTCCTTAAACCCTTAAAAATCTCCAAACCAGTACTTCTAATTTTCTCTCCACAAGTGGTACCTGAATTCAGGCTACCATCTTTGCTTGCCTGGAATTACCACAGCAGCTTCTGTAACTGGTCTCCTTTCTCATTTTCTTCCATTTCCTAATCCAGTCTCTGCAGTGCGTCCCAGTCATCTTTCTAAAACTCAGATCTGTCATTGTTAAACTAAAGCTCTTCAGTGGCTCCCCTGCTTTTAAGGTGAAGTCTATCCTCAGCGTTCCTTAACAGAGCCTCTTCGACCTGATACTTGTTTGTATATCCAGGCTTAATTCCCAGCATTTACCTCTACTGGGAGAGCACAAAGGTAGAAGTGGAAAATTGGGGTCATTAGTTTTAGTGTTTCTCACATAACCATGTTCTCTCACCAGGCCTAAAGTAAGGTGTTTAGATAAAATGAAAGGCTTAACTTACATCCCATTTCCAGATTTGCAAAGTCTGATATACCCTCTGCTTTACATTTTCTGTCATCACACGTTGTGCTGTATTACACAGATTCACAACTGCACCGAAGCTGTGTGTGTGGTCTGTATCCCTCCAGTCTTCACACTCCTGCCAAATAGAATGTAGCCAGAGGGAATACAGGGACCATTTTTCTTTTACATATTTTTTATTGCACCTCACAAGTGTTTGTTCATTTAAATCCCTCAGAAGTGTGAATGGCCTCCTAGTTCATTTGAATTTGTTTCTTGCTCTCAAAGTCATTAGGGTATCTGTATTTTATATAGAGCAGTGATGAACCCAAGCAACCCCTACAAATACACAGTGACTCTAAAAAAAGAAAGGGTAGCCTGAGCAACTCATCTTTGTTGAACTGTTTTAACTTCCCTAAAGCTTATTCCCATCACTTTCTTCTGTAATGCCTAGTGTTTTTAAGAAAAGAAGGCAGTAGAATGAAAAGGGAGGTGTAGGGGATGGCTGGAAAAACTAAGAAATTAGAAAACGCTGCATTTCACAGTTTCAGCCTGAGGGGGGAGAATGGCCAGGTGGAATAAGTAATTGACAGTAATAAAAATAAGCCAAAGCTTTGGAACCTGACAAATGAATAAAGAGAATGAAGGAAGAATTTCTTGGTGCCTTGCAGTTGAGCTGCTGGTGTGGATAGAGGACTTAGCTCCTACTTTGTTAACTGACGCCTCTAAGTCCTTTGACTAGACAAGTTGAGTTTTTATTACTGTCTGTGCCCCTGAAAAGCTCTAATTTAAAGTTAATAGCAACGCACAGTTATCAGCATTCCAACGAGGTGACCACTGGGAGGATATAAAATGATTTAATCTGAAGATATATCCTGAGTATGCTTAAGCATTAGAAAAAATATTTTAGTATGGCCTGAGGGAGCTGTTTTCTAGAGAGCCCCAGAACTAAGTGGTATTCAGTTCTTCAGCTGTACATAATACTGCTTCATTCAGAACGGCAGTGTACTGAGGGCAGTATAAAATGATTTTATGTATCATTGATTCTGAGACACCACACCCCATCCCCTACCCCCTTTTCTACACAACTTAACATCTGGATCGGTCTTATTTCAATGGTGGCACAATTGTAATTGTCAGCATTTTCGTTGTTATTCTTAGCGGTACATGCAGTAATGGTACATGATGGATTCTCTGAAGGGTGGTAGTTAGTAACAGTGGTAAAGGGTTTTGAGGGCAGGCCAGGCTTAAAATCTTGATGCTGCCACCTATTGTTCGCTATATTGTTAGGTTACCTCAACTATCCTAAGCCTGTTTCCTTCTCTATAAAGTAGGACTAATACCTATTTCATAGGGGATTAAGATTAAATGGAATAATGATGGAACGTGTTTAGCAAAGTACCTGGTGCTTTGTAAGAGCTTGCTATAATGGCTGTGTTTCTGGTTTTGTTTTTATGGGGTTTGTCTGTAAACCCTTGTATTTGCTTTTGCCTCCAATTTGAAATCTTAGAATTACATGAGAAACCTATGAGTTTATGCATAAAGGTAAGTTAAGAGACAACTAATCTTGTGTATGTGTAAGTATAATAAAGTATATAGCTATATCAGGCTTTTGCCTGAAAAGGTAATGTTACAATATAGTTAATACAGTTTCCCTGCCAACAGCCCTTATGTTTGTAAAGAACATAGTTATATCAAAAAATAAATCAACACATAATGCAAAGGAGTCTCTTAGCTTGTCAATCCTACTTTGAATTGGAGAAAGGTAAACTGTTAAATGGTTGTATCCCAATCAATGTTATCCCACCCTGTCCTTAAAATCTGTCTTTGTTACAAGGGTAGCTAATTATTTTAAAATTTAATATTTGGCCTTACTATGCACATTTAAATGCTATTCAGTTATTTTAGGTAATAAAAATATGGATGGGTATAATTTATAACTCTGAACTTTTCTATATTATTTAGCATTTTGTACTTACCTATGAAGTTAAAAATATGTTCTAATGTTCTTAGATTCAAAGCAGTGGGTCTGCAAAATCAATGATAGAAGACCCCAAAAAAGGTCAGTTTACTCATGAAACTCAAGATACCTTCAGTCTCTGCTACACTTATCTCTATCCCGTGTCTAGTATAATGATTTAAAAATAAGTAGTGTTTTGCAGTTTTTAAGTGTGCTTTCACAGTGGAAAGTGGGAATGATTCTAACATTAAGTACTCACTATGTACTGGGTAGGATACTAGATGCTTTCTGTACTTTTTTTCCTTTAATCCTCAAAACTCTGAGATAAGTGGTAATTACTCCTATTCAGAAACTCACAAGATTGCTCTGTGCTGGTATTTGATTCCAGATGTTATCAGACTCAAATATGTGTTTTGAATGTTCTTGCTCCCTGTCAGTAGGTACTCAGAAAATACCAGAATAGAACCAAATATTACCATCACATGAGTATTTGAGATTCTTGGTTTGTAAAACAGGCTTTGGTAACAATTGCTTACATTAGATAAGCTGTTCACAGTTTCACAGTGATTTCGTTTTTATTACTTGATTTAGTTATTTGGCTGCAAAACAAATTACCCTAAAATTTAGTGGTGTAAAACAGTTGTTTATTTTGCTTTCAGATTCTGTGGGGTCAGCAATTCATACAGGGCACAGCAGGATGGCTTGTATGTTCCATGGTGTCTCAGACCTCAGCCTGAGACTAAAAGACTAAAATGTGAAGGCTTTTTACTCACATGTCTCGTAGTTGATGCTGGTTGTCAGCTGGAGGCCTCAGTTGCTCTCCACATGAGCCTCTCCACATTCTCTCTGTAGTTTAGGCCACCTTCCAGCATGGTGGCTGAGTTCCACAGTCAAGTGTAGTAGAGAAACAGAGACATGGCACCCGCAAGCACTAGCCAAGCGGAGATTGTTTCTTCTTTTTCTGACGTCAGAAATCACAGAATACCCATAGTATCATTTCCTTGACACTCTGTTGATCAGAACAGTCACAAGCCCCTTCCCAGATTCAAGGGGAGGGAACACAGACTCCCACTTCTCACTGTAAGACTGCCAGTCATATGTAGGATAGTGTGTGTGTGCGTGCGCATAAATACATATTTTGGTGTGGCCATCTTTGGAAAATAGATATTAACCTGTGAAATAAATCAAGCAGATCACTTTACTAGTAGATAAGTTACACAAAATATAGTAGCAAGTGTCTTAGGTCCCTCCCACTAGACTGAAATACTTGATCTGTTTTGAAGGTGATGTATATTCCACATTAATACTGAGATAAGGTAAAAGATGGTTGTACAAGGAAGGTATCAAGTTAGGATGTTGACTTAATATAACGCCATTGGGATGGTCAGCCTTTTGGAGGAATATGCCAGCAATACTTAAAGTTTTTTACTTTGGGATATGCCATTGAATTTTAATCTGCCTAATCGATTAGTCAAATCCAGCTAGCCTTGCTTTTGTAAATAAAGTTTTATTGGAACACAGACATCCATTACTTATTATTGTCTGCGACTATTTTTGTGCTGCAATAGCTGAGTTCAGTAGTTGCATTGGAAACTATATAGCCACCCAAGCCTAACATAATCACCACATGGCACTTTACATAAAGTTTGCACACACTTCCTTAGTCTGGAAGGTCAACCAATCACAAACAATCTGAAATTCTCCCTACTTGAGGCTGTGGTTTTGACCAATTCATTTGTTTAACACATGAGAACTAGCACAAGTGCTGGAAATGCAGAGAAGTTACTTAATGCTTGTCCTCAATGCCCTTGCAATATTTCGGGGATTCAGAAAATCGTAGGTTTACATAGTACGATGTTATGAGAGCTGCTGTCTTACAGCTCTGCATAAATTTCTTTCTCAGAAAAGTCTGCGACTAAAGATTGAGATCTGACTTTTTTTAGAGAAGCCTTCCTAAGAAAACTGACACCAGTCAGGGTCTTGGAAATAAGTAGAAGTTAACAAGATGGAAAGGTGAGAAAGAGCCTTAGAGTAGAAAAAGTATGAGCAAATGTATGTTTGAGTAGAAGTTTTATACTTCCAGGTACTGTAGGAATTCGTTATAGCTGAAAAGTAGAATGGGATTGGAGAAGTACTGAGAGGGAAGACTAGCTGACCACTTAAGGTACTGAGGCGGGAACAGATTTGAGAGCTGTTGAAGAGAAGAATTGTCAAAACGCATTAACTGATTGGTTGTAAGAATGGTGAAGAGTATGGAGTCTAGGATGACTGACCTGGACAACTACATGGTCAAGGAGAATGGTGCCTTTTTGCTAAGATACTCAATACACTGGAAGGAATAGATTGAAGAAGAAAAGATAAGTTTCCCTGTTGGTGAGTTTGAATTTGCAGTGCCTGAGCAACATCTAAATGAGACCTCAGGTGGGCCATTGGCTTTGGAAGCTTGGAAGTTTTCAATAAATGAGTATTTGAAGCCATGGAAAAGATGCAGTCATCTATAGAAAGTATGCAAAGCAAAGAGAATGCCAAAAATAGAAATGGGAAGCAACAGTATTTAAGAGATGCATAGAAGAAGGAGGAGGGCAAGTCATGGAAGGAGCAGTTGGAGCAGAACAATTTTGAATGCCGTTGCATTTAGTGATTTGGAGTAAGTTTAGCTGAATGGTGTGGTGGGATCAGAACCCAGACTAGCAACAGTTCAGAAATGACAGAATATGGGGAGAGACCATGAGAACCATGGAGCTTGAATACACTGACGATTTAAATTATCAGTGAACTTAAATCCCTGTGGAAATGACAGAGATAGAATTTAAAGCAGAAGTAGAGGGACTGACTTTAGACATGGAGGTGTACCACCATCACTGAGACGTGAGAGAAGAATGGATATGGAAAGACAACTAATATTCTTGAAGGCTTTTTTTCTTTGCTAGTCATTCTGTTTGGTTACTTTACATAAGTCATTTCATTTAATCTTTACCGCTGTCTGTTTTATGTGGGAAGTTCCATGCTTTATCAGTGAGGAAATCAAAGCTTTGGGAGGTGTTCTTGCTCAGTGCTATGCATCTTGTAGTTGGTGGAGCTAGCACCTAAACCCTAACGTTTTATTTTTGATGTGCTCGTGCTCTCCCTCACTTCATCCCTTTCTGCATCCTCCCCCTGCAAGATATGAATGTAGATAAGTCTGTAGGGTATAGTATGGACCTAGAATTTAATGTTACTCCATAGAGCATGTGAACAGGTGCTGAGTTCTTAAAATGAAATGGAATTCATTTTTCTTCAAAAGATATGTAATACATCTCATAAAATAACATATAATATCTTTTTTGTTAATCCATATTTTAGCCAAGCTGTAATATGACAAATTTTTAAGGAAAAAATTTGTGTGGGAGGTGGGAAAAACCAAAAACTCATATAAGAGTATAGAGTTTAAAAACAATTAAACATTTGCCTCCAAATGAGGCTATTTCACTAACTCATCACTAGTGTGTGAGATTTTGACAACCCCGGTTTCTCCTTTTTTGGAAGCTTTGTAATTTAAATGTGGAATTATGGGGGGTTTTCTTATTTTTTATTTTCAGGTGTCTGCGTTCAGGGCAGAGTTTTCATCAGAGTCTTGCAGAGAATTAGGCTTCTCCAGCAACTTGCTCTGCAGTTCCTGTGACCTTCTCGGACAGTTCAACCTTCTTCAGCTGGATCCTGACTGTAGAGGATGCTGCCAGGAAGAAGCACAATTTGAAACCAAAAAGGTATTTCTAATATCTCTCTTCCATTAGACGGTTTAGTTGAGGTAAGGTGAAATATTAAGTTGCTTAGTCAGCTTAAATAAAGAAGTCTTTAGCTTTTACATCTTGTAGTTTTGGAAACTCAGTTGATTTCTGGCCTGGCCCATTGGGTCAATCAAAGCAAATAAGAAGGAAAAGTATGGTTACATACTGGGACACCATCCTACCATGGCAGTCCAGCAGAGGGGAAGCAGAATTGCTATAGCATGCTTAGATCCTAAAGCTATCCACTCCTCCTCACTTCTGGCCACATGAAGCCAAAGAATAATGTGATGCTTTTATTTCATTTATAAGAATCCAGTCTTATAATGAAATTTGAGGTAAAAGTAGAGCACCTATTACCTGGCCCACAATTGTGCCAACAGTAAATTGTAACCTTTAATCTGGCTAACAAAGGATATGTTCTGTTAACTTGCACACCTCTTACCAATACTTTCAGATACCTAATCTCACCTTGAACACCTGAAAACAGCCAAGGTTAGGTAATATCCAATACAATCTGCTGTGGTTTTACCTGCTGTTCAAATTAATACGAAACTTCCTCAATTTTTTAATCTTTTCATTATATCCTTAGACTTCTTTAGTTTATAAAGTAGCATGAAAAGATCATTTACATTATCCAAATAAAACTGAATTAATGAGGTCCCTGTGTTTGGATGAGAAAAAAGTGTTAGCATCACTCTGTTTCCTTCTAATATTCTCTTTCAGTTGTACATTGTGAATCCTATTGGAGGCGTTACGGTTTGTAAAGCTTTCAAACAGTAATTGTATCTTATTATTAGGTAGTAAAGGTTTATTTCTAACACTGAGTAGTTTTATAGTTCTAAAAGAAAAAGCAAGCAGACAAGCTTTGAAAATGTTAGTATTCAACCAAAATTTGACACTTGACTTCTTTGTTGTGAACCTGAAATTCCTGTGTCCTGAGAGCAGCTTCCATGTCTTCATTTTCTTGATTCACATATACCAATTATCAGTTTTAATGTTTAGAAGATTTCCATCCATGTAAATTAGTCTTTAATGCAGGTAAATAAAATCTAAACAAGTTTTTAAGACTCAATTTTAAATCTAAAATCTAAATTTTAAAGAGATCTAAGACATAGGACTTAACTAGTTCTGTAGGACGCTTCCCACTTGTTTTTCTGCTTTGTTTTTTTTTTCTTAATGAGATTCACATGCAACAAATTGCTGAAGTGTGTCATCCTCTCATCTTCAAGCTATTACTCTATGGTCTGTACAACTACTCAGCCAACAATGATTATTTCCTGAGACACCAAACTTACAAGGATGAATAACAAGGGGTATTTTATAATAAACAATCTTTATCACATACACATCCTTGTAATTAAGGGTATATTAAGAAATTCTTCCATTTGATAGCAAATGTGTCTAAACTGTAAACCAAGTGCATATAAAAAATACTTTCACCTATTGCCCTTTCTCAGTAACTCTTTATTGTACCCCAGTATAATTTTAGCAGAACCAAACTTGGATCACATGCTTCTCAAATTAGTTATATTCCTGTGCAGTTTTCATTATTAGTTGAGCTACATGTGATATCTTGACACCTTTCACACCTTTCATCAGTTACAGCGCAACAATAGTAGTAGGCAAATAGTCCACCAGTTAATATATGCCTGACTAATTACAATCTGAAATAATTATTGTATCTAAGTACAGGTGAACCTGTATCCTAATACATCTTTTATACTATACCCAGTGGTTTTTTTCCCCTTAACTCCTTGTGCCTCACCTGTAAGATACAATACTCATTAAGCATTTGCTAGCACAGTGCGGCACAAAATCAATGAATGGTTTTCTTTAATAGCCTAGTGGAACTAAAACATAGGAAAACACTTAAAATAGTGTTAGAAATATTAAAGTATGGCATGTTAGGTAAGCCTCCATTTAGATGCAAACCATATTCAAATGTAGCAGTGACACTTGATTTAATCTGTACAGTGCTACTCTCTAGATTATTGGTGCATGATCATAGGTACAATATATACAATATTTTTCCTGTCTCAACTCTGGCTTGAGGCTTAATTTTGAAATCATAATTTAATTTAGTCTTAGTTTAGTGAAAGTAAAAATTTGCAGTATTTAGACTAGTGCCTTACATCAAAAACATTAAAAAGTCCTTAAACATGGCAGTGTGTGTTGTAAATCATTGGGAATATAAATTCTTTAGAAGAGAGAAATTGTGTTTTATATACGGGAATGTTTTAGCAATTTATAATGAGGAAATGTTACCTGAATACTCATTTTGGTTCTCACTTAGTTGCATACTTTATAGGTTTGTTCAAGGATGAGGCCGATCATTTTTTGCATGCTTACTCATTTAGCAGGCTGAATTTAGCCTTTGATAGGCAGAAGCATAAACTTTGGTTAAAAAAAAATTTACAATAAAAGCAGAAAATGTCTTTGAAATCCTTTATCATTCTGCAAATAAATATTCCATTATTATTTTTATTTGCTCTTGTATTTTTTCCTCCATTTTTAATCACAAATAGCCTAAGTAAGCCTCACAAATACTAGCTAGAATGAGATTTTTTTGATAAGTTACTTTACTACTATTTTCACTAGTTTTGCTCATAACTGTATGCCTAGGTACTGTTGACAAACATTAGTAAGGATGTTGACTGAATTATGAAGAGTGTAGGAATTTGTAGCTTAAGAGAAAAAGAAACTAATGAAGGAAAAAATATTTAAATCTTGGTGGTATTTTTATACAGTTAATATTACTAAGTAGCACAAGTGACTTCAGCTTTCTGTGTGTAGAATCTTAAGATGGAAGGGATGGGTTCATTCTTTTTTCCACTACTGACTGGCTTTTTCCATGTGATGGGAATATATAGTAACTGCCAGTTCCTGCATGTTTTATCTCATAGCTTTTCCCACCAGAAAAGGACTAACTCTTCCCCGTTTACATTTTTGAAATATTTTAGACAAGGATTACTGCTGGCTCAAGTTGGCTCACCAACCAGTTGTTAGCTAGGATTATGGAATAATGTAAGAACCATTAGTGCCACAGTAGCTGTGTGGAGTGTTGCACTAGGGAGCAGACAGATGAAGCAACTCTCAGGTACAGAACAGGCTATTTTTCCTTCAGTTACTAGAGTAAACCACTTCTGCTTGAGCCATTTTAAAGATTTAGCTTAAGTGCCTCCTATTCTGGGAAATCTTCCCATTTTTCTTCCTTACCCACTACCACTGCCACTCCCAAGTTAGGTTAGCTACACCTCTGTATTCCCAGAGCACGTGAGGACACCTTGATGTGCACTTACCCCCACTATAGTGTATCTGTTGTTTGGTTTTTCTTTCTCTGCCAGTATATTATGCTGTTTGTGGTCCAGGACTACTTTTTGTTTCTGAATCCCCAGCCTTTAGCTTACAGTATTTCACAAGTTTTTGTCCTTGAATAAGATTGTTTTTACTAAGAATAGGTTAGAGTAGGTCACTTTTTTAAAAATTTATTTTGAAAATATACTTGAACTTTGTAGATGCTTGTAAATACCTTTTTCATATATTTAACTTGTATGTCCTAAATACAAAGAATAAGAAAGTTTGTCTTCATATTGTCAGTTATTTATTAGTAATATTTTGTTTGTAATTATTTATCTAACTATAAATATAGGACTCTCATTTCTATATTTTAAGGATTTCATAAGCCTCCTGAATCTATCTAAAAGGGAGATGTTAATTATTTAGCACAAATTTTTAGTGATTCCAGTCTGACCACTAACATTATTTTTCAAGGAGTTAAAAGTTTCTGGGGATTTTCTGTGGTGGGATGGGGGATCAATTCACTTTTATTTTCTGTTAAGAATCTTTTGACTTATTTTCTAAGATTTATAAAATTAAATGTAGTCTTATAATAGATGGGTTATTTTTCTCATGTTTTTTATATTCCCAGCTCTGTGAATTTGAACTTTGTGAGCTAGGTGCTTTTTTTCTGTCTCATTCATTTAAGATTTTCATATCTTAATGATTTCAGCTTCTTCCAAACATTATTACTGTATAACTTTTGTATTTCTCCTTGTTTATATGCCCGTATTTCCTTACCTACTACTCGTTCTTTTTAAGATCGTGGCTTCACCAGAATCCTTGTAGTTCAACTGCTGTCTTTTTTCTTCCTTCAAATTATTTTGATTTAATTGGTTTTTAGTTCTTTCTGTTCTTTTGCATTCATATCTGCCTTATCTCTGAACTACTATTCTGAAGGTTTGGGAGGAAAGAATCCACTTAGCCGAATTACTCATATATATGAACCAATAAGCGAATTATTTCAACCTAATTTGCTGTTCGTTCAGTATTGACTGGATTGGGAGAGTTGAGAGCAGTGATTAATAAGAGCACAGGCTCTGATAGGAAACTACCTCCGCTCCTCAAGTTCATATCTTGAACAAATTACTAATCACTCTGTACCTGTTTCCTCATTTACACATCAAGGATAATACTAGTTCCGATCTTCTAGGGATTAGATTTGCCAGTGATAAAAATTTGGAACAGATCAATAGGCACATGAAAAAAAGCTCAATATCACTAATTATCAGAGAAATGCAAATCAAAACTACAATGAGGGATCGCCTCACACCAGTCAGAATGGCCATCATTCAAAAGTCCACAAATGACAAATACTGCAGAGGCTGTGGAGAAAAGGG